CGTCTATTTGAAAGTTTGATCTTCATTAATACCTTAACCTTCTTTTCCACCGAATAATAAAAAGTATTCTAACATAAAGTACGTCCAGGCTCTGAGGAAGGCGAAGTCGCCGAAACGTCAGCCATCGATCAATAACATCAAAAACAACGACAACGACAACGACAACGAAGATCTGTACCAACCTCGCGTCAGCTTAAGAAGATCAGTTTATAAGATCTCATAAATAAACACATGAGATCGATCCCCGCTCCCAGGCCCACCAACTCTTCCATTCCCTCCAGGGTGTGAATTGCTACCAGACTTGTCTGGGAGGATAGTAGCACTGGCTCGATACAGGTAGGTCACCGTGAATCATTATAGAGACCAGATATGCATTCAGTCACACCCAACGATGGTTAACGAAGTCGAATTCATGGCGCATATCTTAGAGATTGATTAATCCGAGAGCTTTATCCTTTATCCTTTTACTTTCAGGATCTCTATGAAAAAAGGCTTCACTGCAAAACAGTTTATAATTTTGAAGGTTTTACTATAACAGAACGAAACGAAACTGGGTTTCACGAACATCATTCATTTCAATGTCCGAATCCAAATCTAGCCTTCTGACGTCTGCCGAAAGACTAGTTTCTCCGTGAAACTACCATTTGATACTAAATTACCATTCTCCAGAAAGTACCACACAGACTTAAGTACAATTCCCACCTAAGTTATATGTTATTAAATGAGCGAGATTCTTTTCCTAGGAGGTACAAACAAAGTTGTGATACCGCGCGCATTAATTAGTCTCTATTGTTGGCAGCTGTTGATCATTTTCTATACAAGAGCAGTTTAACGTCTCAGGACCTGGCTCCCTCTAAAGACAAGGAGAACGACTGTAATAAGTACTCTTAAAGGGGTTTACGGATGAATTCCTTAGGTTAAACCTTCTCCGACAATAGTCAAACCACTTTCAATAGCACTCCATTACCACAGTAGACGGGTAAACGTTTAAAAATATCTTGAATATTTATGCACTAAAGGTTGACGGTGGGGAACGAACGCGCTATTGTCCTTTCCGGGGAGTAGCGCGTTCATCACCACACCACGCTGGTCTTTCGTTTCGTTTGTCTCTCAGCTAGTTCTATCGATCTTTTGCCATCAGCAATCACCCGTTAGCGGGATTGCAAATATCTCAGCATCATTGAAGTTATATTTCACAATATATACTCTGCCGTTAAAAAGAGTAGGAAGTAAATAATAAGTTAAAATTGCTTGAATAAATGTTTAAAAGCTTCTGCAGAGAAAAAAAAAGATTTCCCTGAAAACAAGTTAAGTATAAACGTGATAAAAATGATACTGGATTGTAACCAAAATGATGCTGAGAAATGAGCAAAACACTGAACCACAGTTGGGCTCCGAACCTGCGATTACCTTTCCTAGGGTTCACATGCTACCTCCACATTAACAAAACCTCTTGCCTTGTCTTTCTCACAGCCATATTTCAGCTCTTATCGCTGCTATCGGCAATCATCGCCTACGAGAATATATGGGTAGCAAAAGTCGGAATTGACACCAGTTAAGCTGAAGCTGTAGTCGGCATCACAATATTCCACACCATATCCTACCAGGAAAAATGCATAGGCAGTAAGTAAAAGCTAAAACAGTGACACTGGGTTGGCTTCTCTCGCTTTTACCGGTTCGCGTCGTGTAAAAAATATGACCTAAAATTAGTTTCAAGCGCACCACTATTTCTTCTTACTTCGGTTTCGAAACAATCCAAAAAGCACCCAAGAAAATACGGTATGACTTGACTGCACTTCGTGCATCCTACGAAAATCCCAGGATGGAAGACAACAGGATCCGATTTCGAAATTCCACGCCCTTTTATTTCTTAAAAGCAGGAACGTAACGGAAAGAGAAGAAGGTAAGGTATCTTGTACTTGAAGACAATTCTAATAGTGACATTAAGCGTCTTAAATGGCTCGGATGTCTTCTTTTAGGACATCTTGACCCTAACAATGAACAACGTTCTGGATCCAAGTCCTGCACGCAGTGCCAAACCTTTGCAGTGCTGAAAACGACGGACACTGAACGAATCAGGGGAGCGAGGTACTAACCAACCGGTACGCAGCGAGTATGAGAGTATTGGAGCAATTAACAAACCCGATAAATGCATGTTGCATATATTCGAAGAAATCTTTTGATATTGTGATTTTTGTTGACCTTTTATTTACTGTCTACTGTAACTTTTCTCGCCACGGTATTATGTGAAATGCTACCACAGTGATGCTGAGATATTTGCAAAACTTGGACGCCATGCCAGATCGAACCACGATTACCCCTTCCCGGGGCTCGCGTGTTCCCCACTACACCACGGCCCTTGCTTTGCGTTTTCTCTCAGTCCCTTTTCTATTTAACGATGCCCTCAGCAATCACTCAATTGTGATCAAATCAATCACCAATCAAGATCATCCCAATCAAGCAAATGCGATCGTTGTATCTTTCGGCACAAAATCGATCTACTTTGAAGCGGATTTGTAAGAGTGATGAAAAATGGATCAATCTTAACTTATTATTTTCTGCCTACTCTTTTTTAATGGCAGAGTATATTAGGAAATATAACTTTGAAATAAAGAAAAATGGATCGTACAAAACAATAGCGAAAGAAATACCGGTATAAGCGCGATGAAGTTCATTTAAACGCGAGTAAACTAGATTGACCCAGAAAAAGGTTATGTGGTGATTCAACTAGAAGTACAAAATATTCCTATATTATGCATTCCTGCTAGACAAGAAAAGTATTGACCAGAAAAAGTTACGCTGGCTATAGGCCAAACTGAAACCATTAATAAAGCAGAATTTCTTGGAGTTAACCAACAGGAATGGTTTTACGTTTCAGAGCGCAAACCCTGTACCAAAAATATATTTTGGGACTCGGAAAAGACTACACTTGGCTTTTTTCTATTTTCAGGTTAGTGGGCATTATTCATAAGATATTAAGGCTATAGGAATCAATCTTTTGCCCAGAAATGCTAAAAGTTCCGCAAACAAATGACCACATAGTCAGTGAAGAAATAGCGAAAGATCACCGAACAGAATAACATCTAGGACATTGGCTAACTCTATTTCTAAAGGAATTCCATTCCCTGGATTTTTCCTAAAAAGTGGCCCTTTGCCTCATAGCATTACAAAATGTGATCATTTCTGATGTAATCCCTGAAAAAAGTATACGATAAATCAAGTACTGTACGTATGTATCCAGCCAGTGCTGCTGTCCTCTCAGACAAGTTGGTACCAATTTACCAACCCCGGAGGAATTGAGGGTTTGGAGGGCCTGCTGTGCATGGATCAACCCTATGTGTATTTCAGGGTACCTTCGACACTGCACCACACACTCCCATCTTCTGAACAAAGTACATGATATCAAATACACTTGCACTTACCACACCACCGGCTTTGCCGACGGCTTCCATTCCAACCAATAAATTAGGAACATAATTTAGGCAGTCAAAGACACGAAATATGTCCATTCCAGATTTCACTGCCAGTTCGCAAAATCTTAGAAAAATACAAGACAAAAAGTAAGTTTTTTCCTTCAACAATGGAAAAAAGTTGATAACATGGACAAAAGAAAATTCAAAAACTACGTACTTGTCAATAACATTATCTGGATAGTTACTGTAACCGACGGCGTTCGCTCCTCTAAGCAGACACTGGAAAGGGATATTCGGAATCAGCTTTCGAAGAGTTTCAAGCCGTTCCCAAGGGCATTCATGCAAAAAACGCATAGAAACATCGAAGGTGGCACCTTAATTTCAAAAACTCTTCATATAAGCTTTGAAAAAGTGCAGTAAAAGGTATGACACTTTGTGTCGTACCTCCCCAGTTCTCTAAAGAATATAGTTGAGGAAATGAATGGCTGACGAATGGGGAGATTTGTGCCAAGTCATATGTTCGAACTCGTGTTGCTAGCAACGACTGGTGCGCATCACTATAATAAGAACTAGATTAAGACCTTATGCCACTAACAAAGGCGAAAGACCAAGTCATTACAAAAACAGAAACGCATCCGTAAACTTATAAAACACTTATTTAGGTACTTGGATGGCCGCTCTCACTGGTTGTGCGGGCCCCAATAAAATTTCCACTTTTTCTGAGTTTTGTTGCTTTAGCCACTGTGATTCCCTGGAGCCCCTAGGTTAGCCAGGCCAAAGTCTGCGCCAGATCGTCACCACCACAGGTAGTTGTAGCCGTTGTGGATAAAAGGAAAATTTGTCACCATGCGACTAGTTTGATACCAGGATGGTAGCCGATCGTGGTATTGGTTCGCTATTAGCTAGGCTTCCTGATAGAAAAGCCGGACTCCTTCTCAGCTTGGAAGACGCTGCCGCAGCGACAAATCCACCCGGTATACTTTGCCGCCGGACACCCACTAACACCCTCCAGCCACAATGAGGTAATAAACCGCTGGAAAGAAGCTCATAAAGTACCCACCGAAAAGTGGTATCGGTGATTAAACATCCAGGTTTTCGTCGAACACTACGTGCAAATGCCTCAGGACCCTCCTTCAGAAGAATGTCTCGAAGTCCAATTGGTGTTGATTCGCCTACAAAGAACGTAGCTTTAAATTTAAGTGAACCCGTTTAAGAATTCATATGGAGGGCTAGACTTCATTCCCAACATCCCTTTGACACAGCTCTTGCGTTACTATGACACATACGCAAGGTAATGAAGTTAGTCTTAAGGAAAGCTGAACAGCAGCTGAGCATTCACATTTATAACAAAGGTGGTTCCGCATTCCGATCATTTTAAAGAGAGACATAGAAGGCACTGAGTAGAAATTTAACTAAGACCTACTTAACTCCTTCGATGTTCTTAAATAACCTGCAATAAAAAAGAAAGATAACACCACGAAGTCTTAGTACTTTTTCGAAGAATGTAATCGGCAATTAGTAAAAGACAAGTGCTTTAAGTGTACTACACTAGGTATCGAGTTTTAACCTCTCAAGTGTCAAACACACCAGCGTGAATGGCAGGTACAGGTGGATCGACGTAGGCCGGTTTGAGATCGGTGGCAAGAGGTGTGGTGGGTCCATTAACCTTAACGTGATAAGCAGAAGTAACGGTAATAAGCCTCTATGGGAAAATGTGTAGCAAAAGAGCACACCGCACCAACGACAAAGTAAGGCAAACCTGAACTTCACCTAAGTAACTGAGCAGCTTCTGAGCACGATTTTGACTTGGCCTGAATACGAACAAATTCGGATGCTCGTCAATAAAGTAGGTATCAACAGATGCTTCCAAAAACGCGGGTTGAGTTAGAACGTTAAGCAAGAACGGAATGTTTGTCTGAAATCAATACGAGACCATGACGAAGAAGTGGTTACGTATACCTCAGTAACCATAACGAAGAACTGGTTCCGTTTACGTCAGTAAGAGTGTAAAAGACTACCTTAACTCCACGAATCCTGAACTCTTTCAAAGCACGGATCATCTTCGCACATGCACTGTGGTGATTACGAGCTGAGGCAATAACCTGGATTTAGAACACATTCCCAGGTCCAACTCTCTATTAACCCCAACATTGATCAATAATTAACCGTTTTTCTTGATGAGGAGACACGAGGTTGTTATTTCACAATTTGTTCACATTGGTTTAGGGTTCGGCGGTATTGTCACCTTTAGAGACTGGAAAGGACAAAGTAATATCCAGTTTACTCAGCCAAACAGTTTTTAACTTCAGCAGAAAAGAACTTGAAGCCGAGATTTCAGTCGCATAGGAAATAGCTTATTTTATATACTCACTTTTTTTCAAGTTTTTCAGTTGCTGATGGAGACCAGCTACATAGAATCCGACATTGTTGAGGACCGTGGCCGACTCAGATCAAAAAGTATACACGGACCCACGGATAGGACAGCTTGGTTCAGTATACCTATCACCCATACAGTAGCGCAAATTCGTCCCCGCCCATCTCACGAATAGCAAAAAGTTACTGGGTCGTCTACTATCGACATTACCGCCCTCCTTTCTACTAAAGTGTCAAAGGACTCCGCTATGCCAGCAATCCCGAACTGCTCATACAAAACGAAGAAGCAATGAACATCTTTTGTTTCTGCATTCAGAAGCCCATGGTCCCCTGAAAGGAAGGCAATGGGTATGCAATGGGACAGCAACTGGCACTAAGTTTAGCCATTGATTTCATGTCTAAGGTGATGGAAGCACCAGTAATCCATCTGGGACCATTATTCTACTGTAGATATATAGACGATTGTTGTGCCAGAGATGACAACTCAGCAGAAGACGATGTGGAGAAATTTTTTGAATTGCTCATCCAACAGTCAGAGTACATAAAATTTACCTAGGAGAAACAGGAAGAAAACTGGCTTCCATTTCTGAATGTTCAAACTAACCTAGTCGAAAACAGCTACATTAACAAGTGGTAGTAAGATCCACATAAAAAACATACTGGTTAGTTACCTCTCCTTTTCCTCCTTAGACGAGAACCTTATGAGAAACAAACCAGCCGCCAATGTGCGAAAAGGGCATAAGAAGGAGGAATCCGTTAAACTGGCTCGGCAGACAGCCATCCAATCACTACGAAACTGTAGCTCCTCAGGATAGGTTTAGAGGAAAATCCATTTCTCCAAATAACACGTTTGGCGAAAATAAGGTTTCCCTATATTGGTATTCATTTCTATCAAAATAGGTAGAGCTATAAAATGTTGCTCAAAAAATCCCGGTCAAGTGAAATCGGTAGTAGCGACTTGAATGCCATCGAACACTCTTAGACGTAAGCTAGTTCGTAGCCTCTTCTATACAGAATACAAAACAGCTTAACTTCTCCTAAAGAGAAATGGCGCTTGTAGCGCAGTGGCCGGAGGCGTCCTGCCACACACATGAGATCGATCCCAGCGTCCAGACTCACAAAATTTTCATCTCTCCAAAGTCGGCAAATTGGTACCAGACTTGTCTGGGAGGATATCAGCACTGACTCGATATATCGGTAGGCCACCGCGAGTTATTGTAAAGGGCAGATATACATTCAATCACCTCTAATGATGCTTAGTGAAACCGAACCCACGGCGCATCCTTCAAGGATTGACCAACGCCTAGAGCCTTGTCCTTCATCTTTTAACGATAAAGATGGCTGTATGAGTTCGGATATGGTTTATATGATCACTTGTAAAGCACGTGGAGAAGAATACAATTGCAAAACGAGTAGACTACTTTTTTAATTCCAAAGTCCAAAAATGAGCCACGAGAAGTTCCCTGTGACCACGCGTGACATCGCGCTATACCTCAAGCCCATTTTTTCACCCGAACAAGGCGCATTGCTCAGCCATGTGAAACTTTGTGCAAATGGTCTCCATCAAGTAACTGGAAGACTTACAAAGAAAAGAAAGGTGAGTGTTTAAATGAAGCTGTTTACTACAAGAATAAAGATTTATGTGCTAAGTTTTGTCTACTGTGGTTATAAAAATCTTTAACTGAGTGATTTGTGGGTCAGTTCGACCTTTCCAAGTTCTGAAGAAGGCCAGACCGCTGAAACGTGTAAGTAGTGCAATAACAACCTCAGGTCTCCTCATCACGAAGACAATGGATCAGAAAACATTTTCTGATGAATGATGCCCGAACGAGGCTAATTGGCTGTAAATGGATTTCGGAAAATTTTCACATCACAGACTAACCTTTACCAGAAGTGAATCATAGAACGGAGAAATTACTGAACCAGCGAACGCAGAAGCGGAATCGAGACGAATACCCATACCCTCGCCAGAACGGAAGACCTACAATGGTTTTTAATAGGCAGTAAATATTAACACCGAACAGAATAGACGCTTCGAAACCTCAATTCTGCCAGAGTCTGGTTGGAATGCTCTCGCAGGATCTTCTGTGGTGACGCGGCATTGAATAGAAGATCCATGGGGAAAAACAGAATCCTGAGTAAGCTTTAATTCCGACAGCGTTTTGCCCTCAGCAATTCTTAGTTGGGCCTGTACGAGGTCGACGCTTAAAAAATAAGTTTATGTGAAGACTATAAACGACTGTGGCTTGCAAAAAAGAGTGTTGTTTGCTTTGCTAGCCAGACTAAGCGAGGAGACCAGAAATATGCCAAAAATAATTGCATACCCAGTTACTTCTTCGGTTACAGTATGTTCTACTTGGAGACGAGCGTTTACTTCGATGAAATAGTAGTTTCCTTTTTGATCGACCAAAAATTCGACGGTACCTAACCAAAGAAACAAATTTAAAGTTGAATAGATCATATAACTTGAAATGAAGTCTGTCATACATGACTTACAACTTTATAAAGTCTGCGAAACTCCAAACCTGCGTTCTGATATCCTACATGTTTCGCTAACCGTACTGCATCGTCAAGGATACTTTTTCTCACGCCTTCTGGTAGTGCAGGCGCCGGTGCGATTTCAACAACCTGCAGAGTATTTTGTGATATTGATGAGCTTATACATTACGTGCATATTATTATTGTGATGAGCTTATATATTATATTGAATAACACTCTGTTTGTAAGAAACGGAATGTGAACAGCACGTTTCAGAATAATCTGTTTAGAAAAAGTACTATAAAGCTTTCTCTCTTAAAGATCTCGGCGTGGACCAATTCCTGAGGGATGCGCCATGCATTCGACCTCATTAAGCATCGTTGGAGGTGAATGAATGCATATCTGGTGGCCTACCGATGTATCGAGCCATTGCTGCTATCCTCCCAGGCAAATATGGTACCAATTTGCCGATCCCGGAAGGATGGAAGGCTTGGTCGATCGATGCGATGTCTATTGCAGAGCGCCTGAGACCACTGCGCTAAACGCGCCCCTCTTAAAAAAAGGGTACTATGCCGAACACAATCAGAACGACCTTAATTAAGGTACCAAACTAAAAACTGAATTATTCATAGAAAAGTACCCCGTTTCTCCAAATGGAGTTCTTTTCCCCACAACAAAACTTGACTTAGACCTATTATTTGACGGTATTAATGCTTCTACTCCAGTAAAAGCGAACAGTAAGATGCATGGAATTTAAGTGAAGAAATTACAAGAAAATCAACTTAAAAGATTGTGGATTTAAAATGAAACAATTCCCCATTTATTCACTAACGCCTTACTAAAGTATGGAGTGGTTGAGTACGAGGAACGTTCACGAATCATTGAAATGTCACATAACAGACAGTTATTTGCAACCCATCTCATTCCCTCTCACCAAACACGGACATAAAAGAAGTACCCTAAAAAATAAGGCATGAGGAAGTGGTCAAGCTTCATTGAAACCTTTCAAATTGATTTCTATAAGTTGACAATAAGACCACATGTCTTTATGTATCCTGCGTGTGATAAGGAACGCTAGAGCCATAATCTCTCCCACTTCATCTGTTGCCTTTCTGACCCAATAGGTTCTCTTGCTTCTGTGCATCTTTGACCCATCTAGGAGCAAGACCATAGCTCATAAATGGAGTTCCGCTCTTCCTATGAAGCTATATTACTTCTCACTATGGACGCATTACTTCTCATCATGAACGAAAGTTCTAGAGATCGACATACAAACATTTGCTTGCCATTGACGGAAAGATCGTCCGAAGGAGGATGGCATATTAGAACGGTTCGTGAGCTACATTACAGAGTAAACACAATGAGAAGCTAACACCACAGACCGTCGTTGTTTTGACATTTAAACTAGAAAAAGGTAGAAGAAAAAACTTAACCTTTTGGTGTCGCCGCTGCACAGAGCAATCACGTTCATACAAGTGGATTAGGTTTCCATAATTATCTCCTGAAATCCAAAAAACATAAGGTTTTGGTTGGAAATAAAAGAATAACCTAGTAAATCGGACTGTGTTCTCACTCATACATAGAGAGCAATCTTAATACCTAACACCCGGAATGAGTCACGTTATGACAGAGGCATGCTTGAACATAACTGCCCTTCTCAATTTTAAACGAAAAAGTCTCAGCTCTTAGTGAACCTCATTAAAAGAAATAGTAATAATCGGATTCTACAGATTCTTGCCAAGAAGATACAATTCTCTCCGCACATGCTTATACAACTCAAAATCCTTATATATTATTCCACCTGGAGGTTAGGGGCTGCGGACAGTGGTTGGCTTTGCGACATGATACACGATACACACATGGTCTCTAGCTCGATCTCGCGCCAAAGGCTCATTAAACTTTCTATCCATCCAGGATTGGAAAATTGGAACCAAACTTGCCTGGCAGGATAGCAACACTGACTCGATATACATGGGTTCAAACACGTCTACGATGTTTGATGAAGCCGAATGCATAGGGTAACCTTGAGGGTTTGATCAACACCAGTCACCTAATCCTCTATCCTCTCAACCAGGCTGAATGTTCCCAATCACAAGGAGATGGTGTCCCTCATAGGCATAATTCTTGCGCCTGGTCGGCGCAACTGGGCTGTTTGTAAAGAATTTAAATTCCACTTTTAACTTTTGTGAATTCCGATTACAAATAATTCCAAAACTACAATAGTTTTCGGCAAAAAAATTATACGTTTTGGATAATAGGGCAAAGCCTCTATGATTTCACTAAGTTTTCAACAAGTAAAATACTCTTGGTTATCAAAAAACCAACAATCGAGATGCATTTTAGATGACAACTAGTTGTTAGTTAACTTTATTATTTGCTGCCTACCGAAATTTTGCACAGCAGGGTATTATGTGAAGTACCAAAACCACAGCCTCAGCTTAACCGGGTCCACTGCAATGTGGGCTCCCCAGATCAAACCCGTTAGCGGATGCTTGCTGATGGCACTGGTCGATAGAAATCTAGCTGAAAGAAAGGCGAAACAAACGACCTGTATGGTGTGTTGATAAACGCGTTAGCCCCCGGAAAGGGTAATAGCGTGCTCGATCTCCACCGCAGACAACAGCGCTCTCGAGTTTTGCAAATATCTCAGCACCAGTGTGATTAGTAGTTGTTCTTATGTTAAAAGTTTTCAAAATCGTACCCAATAACTGCACTTCTATATGCCTTGGTCGCTCAACAAATTTTTCCACGAATAGAGATCCATCACCAAATGCCGCTTGTGCTTCGGAAAACGCTCGACGGAAAGCCTCAGCAACCTAAAAATACGATGACTAATTAACGACCACAACCAGTTAGATCATTTAACGGCTCATTCACTAGAACCCGTGTCAAAAACATTTCAACTTAACTCGCCCACGTTGTCCACTCTTCGCATACCACGACCTCCACCTCCATATGCCGCTTTCAGAATAATGGGCGTACCATATTGTTTAGCGAATTCGATGGCTTCCTCCGCAGAAGTGATTGGAGTGGCCGTTCCAGGCACGACCTGTACCCCAGCTTCGATAGCTGCCTGACGAGCTGCGACCTACACAATCATTTGACTGGACCTTCTTGCTAGTTCTGAACTTAATTATCAGAAGAAATATCTCGTAGTAATCTACCAAGAAAAAATTGTAGCTTGGAATTTCAGTCAAAGAATCCATATGAAAAAAGGAAATATATCAAGCAGAGGGATTTTGCCAAATAACCTTCGTACAAACAATTTCCTTTAAAGATATCTGCAGCAATATCAGTTTCATTGAAACTAATGAAACTGATAAAACAGTGTGGACGAGCAAAGATCGTATTATACGTTATTTTGGGCGAAACAAACAGTACAGAAGTGGTTCTCGGTTCCGCTTTCTCGAGAGCATAGCGCAGTGGTTGTCATCTCTCTTAACACGCAGAAGACTCTGCTTCGACCACGCGATAGCTGAATTAAAGCTCCATCACTGCAGAGCTGATAAATTGGTGTCAGACGTTTCTTCGACTAGCTCACTTCCATCAATCCACAAAAGGTGACAAACGCCTTTGATGAAGATCTAGGAACATCACAACACGGCTATGTCAAGACTCAAGGAAAAAGCAGCTCGACCAGTACTAACATTCATAAAGAATACAGAGAATCCTCAAGCAGCAGCTGAACCCTTATGTAAAGTCCGAAGACCTTCGTTGAATAAGGATACAAAGCAATAATTCCAATAAAAAAAAGTAGTGGAATCCACATTAAACGTGATGTCGGTACATCAAAAGTAAAACAAAATGAGTACAAGTGGAATAAAGTTAGTTCTGGACAAGGCTGAAAGTGTTGGCGGTAGCTTCTAATGAAATGAAAACTGGCGATGTGGGCGATTTAATACTTCAACGACACCAGTAAAGGAGTCAAAGGGGCAAACGTAGTGGGATTTAAACACTTTGGCTTAATAGTGAAGACTTTTTCATCAAAGATTCCGAAGGTGAGAGATATTGGGCGAAAGCAAACATAACAGATTTTTAAAGATCGTATACTCATACCTTTCCTTAGCACAACTGACTAAGAACATTGAAGAAAAAGGGAAAAGAATCAAAGATTCCAAATAACATGATGTGCGAATCCAACCATATCTGCAACATGAAGACATTTAAAACCTTGGGAAACAGAATTCACAGTTGGTTTATCGTTCCTTGGACATAAACTCAATGACAAAGATACGGAATTGTTCTTCTGCGCACGATCACGACCTACAGCAAGGGTCCACCTCTCAGTAGCACAACAGGCACCAACGATTTTGAGTCCTCTAGAAAAATCAGAGGCCTTGCCCAGAACGTACCGCTTTTGAATCCACGTTGTGTCATCAACTTGGCCACTTTCGCAAGAATTCAAAAACACATTTCTAACCACAATGGCTAGGAATATACGACCAAGTCAGGATATAAACTGAGAAAATTGTAACTCAGGAAGTTAGAGCGTGAACATAACAGCTTTAACACGTGTCAGCAGCCAACGGAACGGCTCAAACGAAGATCTGCCATATCCTCTCACAAAAAAGTGAATTTTTGTCCTCGCATTATCGTTTCTCTGCAGCATGAGACTCTGATAACTCTTCGAGAATAAAAAATATCTGAAATTCGTAGGAGTGGAAACCAAGAAATAGTGCAATAACATGGAGATAAGGATGCAAGCCACAAAAGACGTAACGTTTTGGAAGTCCTAATCAAAATATGAATCGATTATTGACAATAACCCATAAAAGATCTACGACTTCCAATGTAAAGAAAACTAATCAAAATGTATTCTTTTACTGATAAGCTCTATACGATGATAAAGATACCACATTGAGAGTACGAACAACTGTAGACAACAACTCGGGACATTGGCTCTGAGGAAGATGAAGACGTTGGAACCATAGCCGAGCAAAGTTTATTTACGAACCACGTGTTAGCCTATTGATAAAGGAATATATGCCGATTAGTCATTGCGAGGTTAAAGCAAACTCGGTTTTTGAAATATTTTTCCGCTCTGTGCAAGGTGTTAAGGAAAACTCTTTCCTCCACCACAAGGAAAAACCACTGCCACATCTATGCAGAATTGTGGATACACTGAGGTCAAGTCTAGATTTTCCGTTACATTGATAGAGTTCCTCGGATGCTTTTTTGTTTCTGAAGATCAACTAAGAGTGGAAAACAACGAAGTGCCTCTAATTGTAAAGGCAGCACAATGCATAATGTACGTGACAAATCGTGCCAAATCGTTTGTGGTAATTTTGAGGTCATGCTAGTTGACGAGTTCGACATTTACATTCGCAAATCCAGCTAAAAATGCAATTAGATCGAAATTCAGGAAGATGCCAAATCGCACGCTGACGAATCCCCCTACTCGTTCGATCCATAAATGCCAATGACTACTTCTAACGACGACCTGGCACAAGTTTCCACAATGCAAGCCGAAAAGAACATCTTGCCAAACCAATAACATATTAGTATATTTGAAGATGTCCATTGGGTTACCCAATACTCTGTGAAGTCATCCAGCTACCAGTAATCACAAGAAAAAACTTGACTAAAAATCACCACTTTGGAGAAATGTGATTACAGGGATAAAAAAAAAGTTCACAGCGTTGATCAATCTCTGAAGGTTGCGCCATGCATTCGACCTCATTAAGCTTCTCTTGGAGGTGATTGAATGCATAACAGGCCTTCACAATGATTCATGGTGGTCTATCGATGCATCGAGCAAGTGCTGCTATCCTCCTAGACAGGTCTGGTACCACATCGCCAACCCCGGAGGGATGGAAAGCTTGGTGAGCGTGGAGCGCCGAGATCGATTCCAAGTGTGGGTTGCACGGCGCCTCCGACCACTGCGCCACACGCGCTCTTGCGATGTAACGAAATGTGATTAGCTAACTACAATCTGAATTTGATAAATACCTCCCAATTAAACGACCTAGCATATAACTTATTTGTTTCTTGAAGCTATCAATTTGAACTCTTTTATTTACTGCCTTTTTCTTCTTAATGGCAGGGTATGTTGTGAAATATAACTCGTATGAAGTGCTGATATTTGCAGAACTCCGGACCACAGGTGTATGCAGTAGGGAACGAACACGCGCTGTTGTCCTTACCGGGGAGCAGCGCACTTCACCACTACACCATCCGGGTCCTTCCCTTTGCATGTATCTCAGCTAGTTCTATCGATCTTTTTTTGCCATCAGCAATCACCCGTCAACGGGATTGATCTGGGGAGCCAATATCGGCATTGAACCCAGTTAAGCTGAGGCCTCGTTATAATCACAATCTTAACTCTTTTATTTACTGCCTTTTTCTTCTTAATGGCAGGGTATGTTGTGAAATATAACTCGTATGAAGTGCTGAGATATTATATCTCAGCACTTCATACGAGCTATCAATTTGCTCTATTTTCTCACAAAAAATGCACGGACGAACAGTTTTTTGTGTAGAACCAGAAATATTTAGAACCACGTTCCTGAAAAGCAGACCTAAAAGATCATCCACAAAGCGATTCGAAGTAGAGAGTCAAAAAATCAGCGAAATTGTGGGACACCGCTCAGCAAGGAAGCTCATCCGAAAGGAATGCGGCAGAAAGCCCGCGAACACAAGCGCAGCCTGGTAGTAGTAGTTGAAGTTTGTGAAATTCCATGACATACCCTAATTCGAATAATATTTGCTTCCTTGAATACTTGAGTGCCTCGTCCTCAAGAGTCACGAATAATCCAGAGACTCTCAATTCCCATTTCGCATGTAATTTTATGGTTTGGCATGAAGTTCTGTTCGAGGAGCATGAAAAACCGTTCTAGCCCTTTCACAAGTTGTTAGCTACTGCTAGCTAGTTACTAAGAGACTGCAGTTACCATCACGAAAGTAATTCCTGGCACTAGTTTACTCTGAGCTGAGATTAAACTTTAAACTCCTTGGCTTGCGAGACTGCAGAGAAGAGTGGACACAAACTCCTACTATACATCGCCGTTCGATGGCCAGTAAGTAGCAATACCCAGAAACGACGTTTAGAAAAAAACAATTATGTTAAGTTCTTATCATCGCGAAAGAGTTATTTTGATTCACAAAATTACTCCGAGCAGGCGACTCAATACCGGTTCCATAATTATGCGTTATTCTCATTTTTTTTCTAATTCATCAACATCTGGATTCATATTCTTCTCTTTTGTCGCTGACGATCTGCTAAAAACGAACAGCGGAGAAAGCGCGCGGCTATGTCTTAGTCGAAATTTATTATCTGTCGGGCAAAATAAATGTGATGCTGCGATTCCAATGGAGTTAAAAATATTGCATTGGCGATAAAAGAGCTCGTAAACCATCACTTAAACTTAGAGAAGTGAAATATAACTACTATAATGCTGAGATATTTGCAAAACTCCGAACCGCAGGTGTCTGCGGTGGGGAACGAACACGGTATTGTCCTTTCCGAGGAGCAACGCGTTCACTACCACACCATGCGAGTCCTTCGTTTCGCCTGTCTCTCAGCTAATCCCGTTGACGGATGATTGCTGATGGCCAAAGATCGATAGAACTAGCTGAGAGACAGGCGAAACGAAGGACCCACATGGTGTGGTGGTGAACGCGTTACTCCCCGGAAAGGACAATAGCGCGTTCGTTCCCCACCGCAGACACCTGCGGTTCGGAGTTTTGCAAATATCTCAGCATTATAGTTGTTATATTTCGTAAAATACCTTGCCGTTAAAAAGAATAGGCAGGAAATAAAAAGGTTAAGATTAGAGAAGTGACTGAACGGTATCCATGGCAGTAAACTCTAAACAGGTATTCTCAGCTTACTGACTGTATTAAAAAGTTAATGAGTTCACAAAGATGTAAGAATATAGAATATTATTTTTTCTCCATAACATTGATGAGTAGCAATAGATTAAACGTCGTTAGTATTAAGTTCTTAAGAACGCAATGATATAGTCTGATCTGAGCAAACATCGATCACATCGGTTTGCAATATTGTTTCGGCATTTGTATTGAGTGCAGCTGTCGTCAAAATACCTTGTCTCCCATCCGAGCCATTACTTCTGGACTGGGGCCAATGAAAGTAATTCCAGCGTCAATGCATGCTTGAGCAAAATCGGAACGTTCGGACAGGAAGCCGTAACCCGGATGAATAGCGTCGATGTTATGCTGCAAGATATAATAAAGCGGTCAGGAAAGATTTCAGCGATTATTCTGTCTCAGAAGTGTCGAAAAAACTGCACGTACCTTAAGTGCAGTGTCAATTATTTGATCAATGGCGAGATACGCTGCAACTGGTGGTAGTCCTTTACCGACCAAATATGCTTCATCAGCCTTGAATCTATGCATCGAGTGCTTGTCCTTAATATGATTTCCCTTCACTTTATTAACGACAAACAGACAAAAAGTTTCCATAAATCATGGAAACAGCTGCGAACAAAATTTCGGTCAGATTGCTCCTTATTGTCGTGTAGTAAAATACAAGCTCATGAGCTTACTTCACAGGTGACTGAAAGGCGTTCTGTAATCTCTTTGTATATTAATATCACTGGCTGACTTTTATCTCGCAACTTTTATAGTAATCATTCCCACTCCAGCTGGTATATAAGGATCATCATCATCATACATATATATGTAAAATTACCTAAATTTGAGGTACGGCTTTGTGAATACCTTAATTACCAGTCTCGCATAGTAGAATGCAGCAAAGCATAGCTCCATTGCCACCTTTGCTATATATATTATTATTAAGAAAAAGTCCTCCCAACGGTTTCCCACCTCATCGTAACTGGTAGACGTTCTTCGGTGTCGGACCGTGATGTACAGCAGGGAGATTCATCCACCCGGCAGGGTCTTCCAAGATGAGGAGTTCGGCTTTTCAATTACGAAACCTAGCTAAGAGTAAACCAATACTTGGATCGACCACTGTCCTGGTATCATACTAGTCGCACGGCGGCAAATCTCCCTCTGATCCATAAAGACTACGAGTGCCTGTGGTGGTGATGACCTGAGACAGACTTTGGCCAGGCTAACTTCGGGATTCTAGGGAACCCCGATGACTAAGCCAGCAAGTCTCCAAGAAATGGGGATTATGCTGAGGACTGCACAACTAGTGAGGTGGGCCGTCCAAGTATCCAAGTATTAAGAAAAAGGATACAATGAATGAACGGGCTTTGCTGTTTATGGGTACGGAAAACATTTCCATTTTGAACCAGTGATCGCCCGCTCTTATCGTAACAACACTTTTTCCTTAAAAACCTAAAGGCTGCAAACATATGCTCTCCAGCTGTAGTACAATGATGGATTAGGAAATAACTTAGTAAGCGATTCGGATAAGAAGACAAAGCATGCCTCAAATAAAGAAATAAATACGTAAATGAAGAAATACTCTCAAATGAACACACCTGCTCACTGTAAATAGCAACCGATGTTATGTTCAATTCAGTTAAGGCACGAAATACACGTATTGATATTTCACCTCGATTTGCTACCATCACCTATAAAATCACCATACAGGCAGTGCTTTATGAAGTTTAAATGACCTAATACATATATTGAGTCGTCTTTCACCAACACTTTCACAAAAGACAATCCAAAGTAACAAAAACATCAAGTAAGATTGGATAACAATCTCTAATGTTCTAGTGTGACACATGTAGCGCAGTGCCTAAAGATGTCCTGCAACGACGTGCACCTGGACGTTGGTTTGACGCCGCTTTCGGATTCATCAAACCGTCTTCAATCACCTCTGGCGATGCTTAACTTCCATAGTGATCTAACCAGTGCCAAACGCCTTACCCTATATCTTCTCAATGCACAATTTTTCTTTCAAATTAAGGTTTTCGTAAATTATTAAGTGTAAGAAACAGCTTTTAAGATGCCGCATCTAACACAGCGTCGATGTTGGGATAAACTGTCGACTTGGCAAAAGAAAGCAAAAAAATCAGCAAGTAAACTCGATGCTGTTAAATTTGTCACTGAAAAGGAACTGTGTTGAGATCAATGCACACTGTCCGATTCGATACACCACGGATCCATTGAAACCAATGCATTTTGTGTGTATTTTATTAATCTCAACGTCAAATAGCCAAATTGATACATACCATGAGTAAAACTAACTACGTTGAACAAAACAAAGCAATATCACATCAATCCTCAAGGATGATTTCGACAAAAACTGTAATTCAACCAACTCAACGCTCTCACCTTTTTGAACTCCTGGACTTTGGGAGCACTGTGAGCGTGACGTGATTGAAAACATAACCGCTTTATTACGTGTGTTGTACAAAAAAATCTCATCCTGAAAGTAAAATTGAGCAAACTGCAACATTCAGCGAAGCGAGAAAAAATATGATATAACGATGGTTTCCAAGGGACTCGTTCATATATTGGCGCTATGACTAGCACATATTGGCACAATCATATTAGTCCTTCAAAAAAAACCTACGGAAATTACTTTTCAAAAAAAAAAAGATCAAACTAGAGAGAAATAAAATGCAGTTAGAAGGTAAGACCAGATGAGAATTTATGGATCTCATGTATTGGCGAAAGAAATATTGAGCGCCGACGAAAATCTAACACTCGTATGGAACTTCCTCATTAAATGAGTGGATTTCATCAGCACATAGTCGACAAAGTGCAGTGAGTATTCGACAACTGCAACGGCTGATAATTCTTCAACAATCAGAGTACTTAAGGGATACAGAACTTGAAAAGCAAGCCTTAAACGCTCAGGTGTGAAACATGGTCCACTCAGTGAGCTTTAAAAAATCAGGATTTCATGGCTGTACGACAAGAAAATTGCGTTTGTAGATAAGAATCTGCGCATTCCTATAGGTTTTAATTCGGCTAGTAAAGTTCACTCTGAGCTAAAATATACTGGTTTAAAAGTTGAAAGCGGCTAATATTTTAGTAACAAATGCATTGCATCTAACACATTTCGAGCATCATATAGTAAGATTGGCAACTTAAATGATCCTCTGCTCTGCAAGCATTGAAATCAATGTCTGGTGTCGCAAATTTGTCCAGTGCTGAGTTTTGATGTTATATTTCATCTTTATCTCAATGTGGCTGGGTGGCGCTCCTGGGTGGTTGGGCAGCGACGTACATCGAGGTGCTTCGTCCATCCATCCAGCACAGTCTCTCAATCTGGGAAGGAATCCGGCGTTTTCGTTAGGAAGCCTAGCTAAGAGTAAACCAATACCAGAATCAACCACTATCCTGGTACCATACTAGTCGCACGGTGGCAAATCTCCCTCTGATCCATAAGGACTGCGACTATCTGTGGTGGTGACGACCTGGGCAGACGTTGGCCAGGCTGACTTCGGGACTCCAGGAAACCACAATGGCTAAGCCAGCAAAACTCCAAAGAAAAAAATGGACATTATGCTGGAGCCCGCGCAACCAGTGAGGACGGGCGATTCAGGTATCCAAGTATCCAACTATGATTTACGGCTCTCATCCATATGGCTCTGTAAGATCGATTCTAGGAGACGGAAGACCTGTACTGAAGAAATAATTCACGAACGATAGTTCAAACGTTTAAATTTACCCCTATACAATGGTTCAGGAGGTTTTGGGTAACGCAACTGTTCGAGTACCCTCCAGTGTTCATTGGATCGGTCACTGATTTGATCATACGCCCGAACTCCGAACTCACCAAGCCTTCCATCTTTCCGGCTTCGGAAAATTGGTACAAGAATTATCTGAGAGGTTAGCAGCACTGACTACGTACATCAGTGGGCCAGCACAAGTCAATGTGCAGGCCAGATACCCATTTATTCAACTCAAACGACTTGATGAAGCCGAATGCATTGCACATCCCTCAGCAAGGATTGATTCAACGCTGGATGTTTTGTCCTTTATCTTTTCGCGGAGTTCAGAATTCATAGACTTTTATAGGATTTGTCTAGTAAAAACTTCTGCACACACGTGCAATTGCACTTTCTTCTATTTAAAAAGCTAGTGATAATCAAAAATCGTTCACTGCGTGTGAAGCACTTTGAAGTAGATGAAGGATACAACAAGAGAAAAGTGAAAATTTCTGAGAATACCACATGCAAAGAGAACAATGGAGTTTTAGGAACTTTCTAGTGGGAACCTACCTGAAATAGAAGAAACCACCTATATAGCCTTTGCGAAAGTGTGAAAGAAAACCGGATTATCAGTCACTACCTAAGCTATGATCGATACGTAAGATTCGAGCTTCTTACGGATGTTTGATTAGATAAGGAAAGGTCCACTTGTTTTAACAAACTTGAACGAGATTGGTATCGCGTGATTCAAGGTGACCACCTTGTGCTGATAAGTTTTTATCGTTTGATTTCTCGTCCTCTACCTATTACAGTCTTTGTTATACCGTTTTTCTCCACGAAAAAAAAACTGAACTAATTTCACATAGCCTTGAGATGCTCTCCGATTGCGATTTTTCTTATGAAGCGATTGAGCTACCAGGTGATTGATGAACGTGACGACGTTAGTTATTCCAAAGTTCATAGCGCCCACTACACTACTTACATCCACGACTAGCAGTGGTTGCTATTGTACATTGTTAATCTATGTGATTTATCGGGAACACCTTAACCGACAGAATTTTTTACACGAGGAATATCGAACTGGATAATCGCCAAGCTACATGTCCCGACTGTCCTCACCTGGTAGATAGGGTGTTGAACTCGGACAAACAGTAATTTTCTACTTACAACATTTTCTCTAAGACGTAAGTCGATTTACACCCTACAGTTCCTCTATTCTTCCACAGAGTATGCCTTCTGGATGCGTGTATGCCATACAGGATTACGTGGGTATGCTTGCGTGTGACAGCACTCAGTGCGGCGTATCAACCTGAAATATAGAATCGAACAGCTGTCAATTGCGTAGGAAACGTTTCGGAGTCCCTTTTTTTACAGAAAATATCCTAGTCTACATTTCGAACTGCCTGTGGATAAACACAGTTCCAAAGGCAAAGCATAGTTGTAGATGTGTATATGAGTACTTCTTTGCTAGTATGACGACCGCTCATCAATCGAGGAAGAAAAACGTGAAAGCGGAGCCTGAAATTCAACCAGAGATTCATGTACTGATGAATATCTTGATTTGATAAGTCACTTTCTATCTAAAGGGATCGTAGGCAAAGTCAAAGTTATATTTCTTTCAAAGTGGAATAAAGAAGCGATAAATCACGTCTTTAAGAAGATATAACAGAAATGCCAGCTGACTGGAGCTATATATACATGGACCGACACAGCAGCGACGTCCATCAACTAGTATGCTTCTGTGTTTCCCACAGGCTCTTTATACGCTTTAACCACGAAGTTATCGAAATGCATCAACAGAATTGAGTATTTTTGTAACTAAAGTTTCGAAAATGGTTCAGTATATCCTGGCAGAGTGGTAAGATTATATGCACACGGTTGTAAAACTTATTGAAGTTTCGTGATAGTACGACTTGTCGGCGCGTGTAGCGTAGTGGTTAGAGACACCCAGTAATACACATAGGATCGACCCTGCACCCCTAAATTCACCAAGTTTTCTCTATTGCTCCGAGGTCGGAAAATCGTCACCTCTAACGATGCTTACTGAAGTCGGATCAATGGCGCATCTTTCAGGCATTGATCAACGCCGAGAGCCTCATTCTTTATCCTTTATTTTATGACTTGTCGGTATTTATAACCGCGTTCGACATTAAAATGGGAACTGAAACTTTGGTGAAAAGATAAGGAGTTCCCTATCTTCAAAACAAAGGACTTTAATAGACTATAGAGCGATTCCAAAGCCATAATTTACAATACAACCATTATCGACATTAAGATGCGATACTACACCAGCGAAAACAATCGGCGCCATTCATGAGTAAAGGCCATGGAGAAACTGGTATGGGACGTGACGGTGAAAGTTGACAACCGAACATAATTTCTACTTTGCTAATGACAGTGATCTAATAATACCAAACATCAGCGAGCTGAAGGGAATGCTGACCGGTTTCAATTACGTGTGTGGAAATTTCGGTACTTGCATAAAAACGAAGAAATCAATGCTTATGGAAGGACTTCTCCGGTATGCTTCAAGACAATAAGATCTCAGTTTTGTATGTCTTGTTGGGCTAGATGACACGATTAACGACTTGTCTACAGGTTAAAACAAGCGAGCTTTGAAAGCAAGGGTACTGACGTGGTGGAAAAAAGAACATCAGACTGTCCTTCCACTAATCAAGCCATGATTATTACTAACTTAATGTATTCCTCAGAAACGTGGACGCTATGTAAACTGGATAAAAATGTGCTCAGATTAATGGAGATGCAGTAGGAATGATGTTATGAGCAACTTGTTCCACTCAAATCGAAGATCGGCGGACATGTTACACATAACGACGACAAGACGACCACTGCTGGACGAAGCCACATAGCAAGTACACTCTTTACGGGATAGGAACTGCACCGCAGGAAAACCAAGGCAAATTTCTTTGCTAAGACCATAATCCAAAGTACGACGCGCTTTTTATCCTTTAGACGAGCTAAACCAACTCGACAACGACCGCATGCAAAAAGAATAGAGTTCGTTGCCTTTTTCTTTAACCATCCGACTGAAAAGGATTGAAGATTAAAGATTACAATCGCTGAGGTCATATGTCTGTGCCTATAAATGATAACCTGGACACGTAAATACAAATATAACACTAGATATGAACGTTATAATCACAAAGTTAAGCCGGTTTCCACGCATATAGAGGAAGATCGGTAGGTTTCAACTAATAGAATTTCCTCTGCTGTCGTTCATTTCGTTATGCAGAGAAAAATAGCACCCACCACAGAGACTCTACTACCGAGGAGGATATAGACGTTTTTTGTTGTAAATTACCACTTCAGTTCCACATTGCAGAACACCTTTTCACTCTTATAGCATGGTAAATCATTGAAAAACCTTGTATAGATGTGATTGTGGTGTAGTTTCCATGGTCGGTGTCACAATAATGAATGAATGTGAGAAAACTAGGCGCATCTAACTATACTTCTCGCAAAATTCTATTGATTGGGAAAGGAAATGGCGATAACAACTCCTCAAGGAGTGACTTGAATAGTGTTCTGGTGATACACAACGGAATATTTCTGGACCCCACTGAGCAGTAATGCTGATCTGCTGGGCTCATATCCTATCCTGCGCACTCATTCAGGTGCCAATTCTCAACACTTTGAGATCTAAGGAGTTAAAACCAAATAAAAGAAAAAAAAATCAATTAATGTACGACAATCAGCTAAAAGAAATTTAACACCTTCTTTAGTTAAGGAACCATACCTAGCTTGTAGACGTGTGCT